CTTCCTAGAAAAATATAATTCTCTTTTCTGGAAATTCTAGAATGGAAATGGAAGAGACTGAATAGGTACAGCTCACTATTACTCCCCATTGCTAACCCCCACATTGTCTCATGATCTTGTTTTTCCTTCCCATTCCAGTCTCTATAAAAAGTTTAAGATTAACCAATGTTCCTCCTTGGAAGGTGGAAAACAAGTGATAATGATCTAGGAATGACAAACCAAACAAAGCACCCATCTTGGGACAAGAAAACCTGGATGTCACCAGATAGCCCACAAGAAAAGATTAACTCATCTGGGACGTGACCACCTCAAGGGGGAACTAACACAAACTTTTAAGACCCATAATCCTGCCCCTATAAAAGCCTTCAGCCGATCTCCAGTGGGGAAGACAGGTTTTTGGAGGAATCTATTCCCCTCTGTCTCCTGTATATCGATATGTAATAAAACTCTTGCTGCCCACCTCACCTCTGTCTCAGAATTGGCTATTGCAGCAGGTGGCTCCAGTCTGCGTTATTGCGGTAACAGAAAGACAATGATTAACTTCTGGATATTCTGAATACCTCACTCCAGCTGATTCTGTTTCTTAAGAACACTAACTCAGCAATTCTCTTATGTGGTGTGTAAATGAATTTCATGTATTTCTTAAAGGATAAATTTAGCCTTGCTTTGATGCACTGAAATAAGAAGAGCTGTATCTTATCCTTGCAAATGGTGAAGATCTCAGCTGCTAACCGAAAGGTTGGAAGTTCAAGTCCACCCAGAGGCTTCTCGGAAGAAAGGCCTAGTGATCTACTTTCAAAAAATCAAGCCATTGAAAACCCTTTGGAGCACAGTTCTACTCCAACACATACAAAGTAGCCATGAGTTTGAATCGACTCCATGACAACTGATGCTAGTTATCTTATCCTTATCCTGAATCTTACCTTATCCGCCAGGGTGGTATTTTGAGACGTCCTGGAAAGCAGTCCTTGCAGCCCACTAACTCTCAAACTCCTCTTAAACTCACGTCTAAGTGAAGTAGAATGGTTGAGCATTGCTCAGTGCCAAAGCCGGGCTGTCTGGAGGAGATTCCAGAGCAGCACCTACAGCATAAAGAAAAGATGTTAACCTATCAAATGGGTAGCCACACAGTGCATGTTCCAAGAGACAGGTGGCTCATGAAGTGGGAAAAAATACCCTCCTCCTATCTGTGTTTCATTCTGTTACTGGATCACAAACAGAGCAATTTCAATCTCTCCGTTTTCTTGCTTCACTCATTTTCTCAGTGACACACTCTGATTCCTGATACAGACTCTCTGACACAGATTTCCCAGGAAGGGCTTGAACTAGAAAATAGTTTAAGATACATTGCATTCTTCCACATGCAAAAATGTCCCCAAAATAATGTTTATGTTCCAAAGTTGGATACCTTGATATTATCTACCTTCAGACCAGACTGAGTCCCCTCCCCTCTGGGGTACATTGCCTGAGAGGTTAAAAGCTGAATAATATTCCCCGACTGTGGGAGCCTTAGCCCTCAGGACTAACCTTTAGCTCCTACTTTATCCAGTCATTCTCTCTCCTTTTAGGCTCCCTGGACCTTGCATTTCTCCTAACTACCAGTCTGTCCTAACAGGTCTGATCCTGTACCTCCCTGATCTTCAATAAAAGATCAAAACAAAATTTTGGTAGCTCCCTGCTTCCCTCAAGATGAAATATTCTCTGTAAATTATTTAAATTTTATTTTTAATAGCTAATGCAATACAATCACTCTACAGAGTGAAGTCTCCCTTCACTCTGACCTCAGTTCCTCTCCTCAAAGACAACCAGTCTTAACTGACTCTTGTGTATTTTTCTAGGGATGTTATGCACATACAACAAATAACCCCCATCTTTTTTAGCCAAACGTTCACATACAAACATTGCTGCACCTTGCTTTTTTCTCTTAACAGTATATCTTTGCAATCATCCCATATCGTTATACAATGAGCTTATTCATTCTCTTTCAAACCAGCATAGTACTGCATTGTTTAAATGCATCACCATTTATTTAACCAGTCCTCTAGTGAAGAAGATCTACTGCAAAAGACCTCTATAAAGTGTTGAAAAGCAAAGATACCACCTTGAAGACTAAGGAGCACCTGACCCAAGCCATGATATTTTGAATCGCATCATACGCATGCGAAAGCTGGACAATGAATAAGGAAGACCAAAGAAGAGTTTATGCCTTTGCATTGTGGTGTTGGCAAAGAATATTAAATATACCATGGACTGCCAAAAGAACAAACAAATCTTTCTTGGAAGAAGTACAACCAGAATGCTCCTTAGAAGCAAGGATGGCGAGACTACGTCTTACATACTTTGGACATGTAGTCAGAAGGGATCAGTCCCTGGAGAAGAACATTATGCTTGGTAAAGTAGAGGGTCAGCGAAAAAGAGGAAGACCCTCAACGAGGCAGATTGACACAGTGGCTGCAACAATGGGCTCAAGCATAACAACAATTGTGAGCATGGCGCAGGACTGGGCAGTGTTTCGTTCTGTGGTACATAGGGTCACGATGAGTCAGAACCGACTCAACAGCACATAACAACAACAACAACTAGTGAAGAATATTAATGTTATTTCCAACCTTTTACCATTATATTATGGTTTAAAATCAGGAAAGATGTGCATCACAGTTGTATCCTTTCACCATACTTATTCAATTTGTATGCTAAGCAAATAACCCAAGAAGCTGGGCTATATGAGGAAGAACACTGCATCAGGATTGGAGGAAGACTTAGTAACACCCTGCGTTATGCAGATGACACGACCTTGCTTTCTGAAAGTGAAGAGGACTTGAAGCACATCCTGATGAAGATCAAAGACTACAGCCTTCAGTATGGATTACACCTCAGCATAAAGAAAACAAAACTCCTCACAACTGGACCAATAAGCAACATCATGATAAACAGAGAAAAAAGATTGAAGTTGTCAAGGATTTCATTTTACTTGGATCCACAACCAATGCCCATGGAAGCAGCAGTCAAGAAATGAAACAACGCATTGCACTGGGCAAATCTGCTGCAAAAGACCTCTTTAAAGTGTTAAAAAGCAAAGATGTCACCTTGAAGACTAAGGTGTGCTTAACCCACTCCGTGGCGTTTTCAATCTTCTCATATGTATTTGAAAGCTGGACAATGACTAAGGAAGACCAGAGAATTGATGCATTTGAATTATGGTGTTGGCAAAGAATATTGAATTTACCGCGGATTATGAGAAGAATGAACAAATTAGTCTTGGAAGAAGTACAGCCAGAATGCTCCTTACTTTGGACACGTTATCAGTAGGGACCAGTCCCTGGAGAAGAACATCATGCTTAGTAAAGTAGAGGGTCAAAAAAAAAGCAGACAACCCCTAACAAGATGGATTGACACAGTGGTTGCAACAATGGGCTCAAACATAACAACGATTGTGAGGATGGCACAGGACCAGGCAGTGTTTCATTCTGTTGTACCTAGGGTCGCTATGAGTCAGAACCTAACAACAACAGCAATCGTTATAAATAATGCTGCAATGAATAATCTTATTCATAGACCATTTTGCACATTTGTGAGTATATCTGCAGGAGAAATCCCTAAAAACAGAATTACTGGATCAATTATACTTTTATAGGTATTTCCATATAAGTGGTACCATTTAGACTCCCATCAGCAACACATGATGAGGCCTGTTTCTGCTCATCCTCATCCACACAACATGTGTCGTATTGCTGCCAGTGCCCTGCCCATATTCCTGTCAGTGTGTCCTGGTGATTTACGACTGTCAGTATCTGCATCTCTGTGCCTGAGGGCTCACCTTCCTCACACCCACCTGCAGAAGGTGCTCTGTGGGATTCTGGGGTAAACCAGAAGCACAGAAAATTACCCACACACCCAAGGAGCAGCCATCAGTTGTGACTTTTCAGTTTCTTCATCCTTCAGGTGGGATAATTCTGAGGTGTGTATGTTGCATTCTTTCCCAGGGTTTTTCCACTGGGTAGCTGGCTTCATAATGCACTTTTTGTTGGCTGCCTCATCTTCTATGTCACTTCCCTACTTCTTCTGGTGTCTGCTGCCAGCTGCTCGATTTGAAGTGTTTTCCTTGGATTGTTTTCGTTAGTATTTAAAATCAGGCAAAAGTAGGGTGGGAAAATTTTACCTCCCCAGACATAATTGAGCTAATTCTTGTTACTTGGTCTAAATGTTCCTACATCTGTTTCACAATTATCACAATGTTTGTATTTTTCAGCCTATTGGAAACTAATGTCTTTAAAACCATACAGCTTTAATTAAAGCCTTAAAGCAGATGTCTGTGCCAAAATAAATTCAGTGAATTACTGATTTTAAAAATAAGAATATTTCCCTTAATCTCAGCAGGAATCCTGAGAGAATTCATATTCTCTTCCCATAGATTGGCAGTAAAATTACTCTTGGGCCACGGAGAAGAAAGGGAAATAAACAACATACTGATCTTAACAGGAAATAGAAAAAGGGTATAGACTTTAAAAATCGTCATAATATTTTTTTTCAAAATGTCTTCAAATGAATAGCAAGTAAAACAACGTAGAGAAAAAGAGTGAAAATGGAAACTCACTTAAATATTTCTCCATTGTTGCAGATTATTTTTTTCTAGAAAAAATTTACCTTCAGATGCAGGTGAGTAAGTGTACTAGCTATGTATAAGTCAGCTTTATAGAGTGTTAGCTTTATTATCTCTAAAACTGGATAATAATAGATGTAAAGTACTTAGCACATTGTCTGGCATATAATTAAGACTCAATAATTGGTAGTTATTCTTAGGAAAACAGATTCTACTCTTAAGCCATTGTCTACTCTAGAATACTAGTAAAGAGCCAGGGAAGAACACATCTCATTAGCGTTCTTAACCATCAGGACAGCCTAGGGATAGGAAATAGGGCACATCTCACATCTCAGGGGAGTACAAATCAAGGAGACAGCACAGCTCTTTTACCAGGACCTCGCCAACATGTGCTGGGACCATGGCCTACGTCATCAATGCGAAGTACTACACACGCCTGGGCAATAAATTCCACGCCAACAAGCACGGGTGAGGGAGATCACCATTACGCCCAGCAAGAAATTCCGCAACAAGATAGCAGGCTATGTCACACATCTGATGGAGCCGATTCAGAGGGGCCTTGTGAGAAGTAGTTGTCCCTTGGTATCAGAGGAGGATTGGTTCCAGGACCCCCACATATACCAAAATCCACAGATGCTCAAGTCCCTTATATAAAATGGCGTAGTATTTGCATATAACCTTCACATATCCTCCTGTACATTTTAAATCATCTCTAGATAACTTATAATACCTAATACAATGTAAATAGTTGTTATACAGTACTCTATTGTTTAGGGAGTAAGAATGCTGGAGAGAGACTGAGGATCTGTGAAATGGCTGGAGGCTACAGCAGGAGATACCTACACATCACTTCCTTAGCATGGATTCAGCATAGTGCTTGGAGAGCAGCAAATTCAAGTTTTGCTTTCTGGAACTTTCTTTTTTTTTCCTGAATATTTTCGATCCGCAGTTGGTTGAATCTGCAGATGAGAAACTCACGGTTATGGAGGGCCAACTGTATCTCCACCAAGCTGCAGGAAGAGGAGAGAGAGAGCAGGGATAATTATGTTCCTAAGGTCTCAGCCCTGGATCAGGAGATCATTGAAGAAGATCCTGACACTAAGGAAATGCTTAAGCTCTTGGACTTTGGCTGTCTGTCTAACTTGCAGGCCACTCAGCCCACAGTTGGGATGAATTTCAAAATACCACATGGAGCTTTTTGAATCTTTCTGCTATGCTGTAATATTTTTGATAAACCTGGGAACATAAAAAAAAAAAAAAAGGCAGCACAGTCTCCTTTCCCATGCTTGCCTTGCTTGGGACTGCTCAGACTTCTACTATAAACATGCAGAAGTGGACATGACAGGAGTTGCCACAAATAGGAATAGAGGCCTCTTGCCAGTGCTGGAGTAGGCGTCTTCTCCGAGACGATTGCTTCTGCTACCCCGACCTACCATATCCATGGGAGAAAGATGTGGTAGTGTGCTTCCGTAGGGATTTACAGCCTTGGAAGCCCTATGGGGTCACTATGAGTTGGAATCAACTCATAGGCAGTGGGTTTGGTTTGGTTTGTTATCTATAGGCCTCCAGGCCACACCTGAGAGCTTATGCTAACAAGGTGACTCAGGTGGGGGCAGGCCAGGGGAGGCAAGCTGATTCAATAAATTTTGACTATGTAATGAGGCCTCAGTAAAGGCTCTGGAGAGGGACACTCCATGGACTTCCCGGTTGGTGAAAGACATCAATGCACAGGGGAGGGTTGTTGTTGTTATGTGCCATGGAGTTGATTCCAACTCATAGCGACCCTGTAAGACAGAGTAGAACTGCCCCATAGGGTTTCCAAGGAGTGGCTGGTGGATTCAAACTGCTGACCTTTAGTTTAGCAGCCCAGCTCTTAACCATTACACCACCAGGGCTCTGTGGGAGGGTAGCGCTGCCCTTTTTGAGACATGGAAGCTCCGTGTAGGGAAGCCTCCTAGACTTCACCCCATGCATCTCTTCATTTGTGAGAAGTTTTTTTTTTTTTAATAATAAAACTATACTCATAACTATAGCACTTTCTGTGAGTTCTGTGAGTTGTTCTAGCAAATTATTGAACCCGAAGGAGTAGTAGGAGCTAGCAGATCAGAAGTGAAGGGGGCCTTGGGGACTCCTGAGCCCAAAGCTGGTATCCTGAAGGGGTAGTTGGAAAACTCCGAATTTATGGGGACTCCCAAGCTTGCAGCTGGCATCTGATGTCTTGGGCCTACTTGGCAATCTGGAGGACTGTGTTTTTTAACTTGTGAGATCTGACCTAGCACTGGGTGGTTAGAGTCAGAAGAAGAAGTGCTGCATGTGCAGCTGGTAACAGAACAGAAGTGGTAGAAAGGGGGAGTCTTGACATTTTCCACTCAAGTGAGTGAAAGATAATCAGGATGTCCATCACTGGAAGAATAGATTAGTAAAATTGTGTGCATCTTAGTTATCTAGTGCTGCTATAAGAGAAATACCACAAGTCGGTGGCTTTAACAAACAAATTTATTCTCTCACAGTCTAGGAGGCTAGAAGTCTGAATTTGGGGTGCCAGCTCCAGGGGAAGGCTCTCTTTCTCTGTCAGCTCTGGAGGAAGGTCCTTGTCATCAGTCTTCCCCTAGTCTAGGAGTGTCTCAGCACAGGGACCCCAGGTCTAAAGGACAAGCTCCCTGCTCCTGGCTCCTCTTGCTTGGTGGTAATGAGGTCCCTCTCTCTTTCTACTCACTTCTTGGCAAAGAATATTGAATTTACCATGGATTACCAGAAGAATGAACAAATCAGTCTTGGAAGAAGTATAGCCAGAATGCTCCTTAGAAGCTAGGATGGCGAGACTTTTTCTCACATACTTTGGACATGTTATCAGTAGGGACCAGTCCCTGGAGAAGAACATCATGCTTAGTAAAGTAGAGGGTCAAAAAAAAGCAGACAACCCTTAACAAAAGAGATGGACTCAAAATATAACCTAATCCTGTAGATTGTGTCCTGCCTCATTAACATAGCTGCCTCTAATCCTGCCTCATTAACATCATAGAGATTAGGATTTACAACACATAGGATAATCACATCAGATCACAAATTGGTGGACAACCACACAATACTGGGGATTATGGTCTCGCCAAGTTGACGTGCATTTTTGGAAGACATGATTAAATCCATAACTTTCCACCCTTTGGCCCCCCAAAATTCATGTCGTTGCCACATGTTAAACATATTCACCCCATCATATCATCCCAAAAGTCTTAAATCAACTCTCAATGCAAATTCCATCCTGGAACAAAATTCCTCTTCATCTAAAATACAAGTTATATGCTTCCAGAGTACAATGGTGGAATAGGCACAAGGTAGACATTGCCGTTACAAATGGGAGGAATTGGAGGCACCAAGCAACTCCAAAACCCAGCAGAACACATTACATTAGCTTTCAAGGCTTGAAAACAATCTCCTATTCTTTGAGACCATTTAGGCAATAGTCTGTCCTCTGGACTCTGGGTGTTGGCCACATTCTCCAGATTCTGGGTGGAGGACCCTCAGCCCTAGGCTTCAGCTCTGCCTTTCAGGCCTACTGGAACAGCAACTCTGCTCCCTTGGTTTTGAGCAGCCCCATTCTCCTAGTCCATCTGAATGGTGACCACACCCCCTCAGCCCCAGCAAGCCCTGTTCTTCGGCCCCTTGGGCATGGCAGCACCCCCCCTCAGCTTTGTGCAGTGGATCCAGCCCCATCCTGCTGGCACTCGTGAAAGGCAGCCCCACACTCTGATGAAGATTGGCTCTAATAAAACCTAGGAGGCTGTAGCCCCATTCTTTGAGACCCCAGATGTCGTGGCCCTACCCTTTGAGACTGAGGCAGCTCTGCTTCTGTGCTCCTTGTCCCCTTAGGTTCTGCTTCCTGGTTCCTTGGCCTCTCGGCCCCTCAGACCCTCAGGCTTCTTGAGTTGTCCCGGCCTCTTCCCTGCTCAGGCAAGTGTTACAAGACTCTTTAGCTCTACCAATAAGCGCCGGAGATACCCCACTCCACCAGTAAATCTCGACCAGAAGGCTCTCAACTCTCTCGCTCTATGGGTCAGCAAGCCTAGCTCCACTGATAGGTGCCCACTCCTCCAGGAGGCCTCCTGCCTGAACACACTCAGCTCTCTTGCTCCATGGGTCAACTGCCGCACTGTCTCACGCCAGTCTCCTGGTTCTGCTGCTGCCATTTCTCTGCTGCTGCTTCTCACCATCTGCACCATCTCCGATGCTACTGCTGTCCTCACTTCCTTCTGAGCCCTCACCAGAATTGTCTCTGATGTCCATAATGCCACCAACAGTGTCCTCAGGGCTATCTAGGCTTTTACTATTAAACACCTTAAAACTCTTCCAGCCTGTACCCATTACTGAATTCCAAAATCACTTCCACATTGTAGGCATCTGTTAGAGCAGCACCTCACTCCTGGTACCAAATTCCGTCTTAGTTATTTAGTGCTGCTATAACAGAAATACCACAAGTGGGTGGCTGTAATCTAATCCTGTCGATTGTCCTGCCTCAATAACATAACTGCCTCCAATCCTGCCTCATTAACATCATGAAACAAAAAACCAAACCTGTTGCCATTGAGTCGATTCTGACTCATAGCAACCCTACAGGACAGAGTAGAACTGCCCCATAGGGTTTCCAAGAAGCAGCTGGTAGATTCGAACTGCTGGCCTTTTGGTTAGCAGCCAAGCTCTTAACCACTGCACTACCAGGGCCCCCATTAATATCATAGAGGTTAGGATGTATAACACATAGGATAACTACATCAGATGACAAAATGGAGAACAACCACATAATACTGGGAATCATGGCCTAGCCAAGTTGACACACGTTTTTGGGGAACACAATTCAATCCATAACAGGTGGATGCACACATGAAGTATTGTGAAGTAATTAAAAGCAACTGAGGCAAATGGGGAAAGGGGTTAATAGAAAATAAAAAAAATAAGAGGCAGACCTTGCACAAACCAATGATGATAATGTGGTAGGAATTGGATATATGACTAATTGTGTTTTCTGTAATTAAGAGCCAAATTTAAGGCATAACAAAATTGTACAATTGAGAGATCATAGGAGACGTCATAGGGTCTCACCAGCCCAGAGATAGGAAACATTGGATTAAATACTAGAATGTTACCTACATTAGAAGTCTCACTGTCATCTTTGACTCCTACCTTTCCCTCCCTGCCCTTATGGAACCAGGTATCTGGTTGCTTCCAAATATTCTCTAAAATTTTGTCTCCAGCTTTCCACTCTTACTGCCATGAAAGCAATCTGGCTATAACAGCTGTCACACAGCTGACAGTGAGAATTGATTTAGCTGATATAGCTGCCTGGGTGGGTATCCCTTTCCTTCTTCAACATCCAGAAAACAGAGGATGGCTCTTTGATCAAGATTACACAGGTACCTGTGCTTCTCTGCTAGAAATACTTCACTGCCATTGTCCTAAGCCAACTTCTTAGCATCTCTTGCCTATACTCATAAATAGATTCTTTTTTAAACTTTTTAATATGGAAATTTTCAAAAGTAGACAAAACTGAAGAATGAATCACAATGATCCCCCTTGTACCCATCACCTAGCTTCAACTCATGACCAATTTTGTTTTATCTATACCCACACCCACACTCTCCCTCCTGTATTATTTTGAAGCAAGTCCTAGACATCGTGTCATTTCATCTACAAATTTTTCAGCCTGCATCTTTAAAATATAAGGACTCTTTTAAAAAGTATATATATACACACACATATATATATAACAAAATCAATATCACATCCCCTGATATTAACAATATACCCCTAATACCATTTTTAAAAATCTAGTCAATGTTCAAATGTTACACATCTTTCCCTACGTTTTATTTGGTTGAATCAGTATCAGCATATTGCAATTGGGTTAACATGGCTCCCAAGCCTCCTTTAATTTATGGGCTTCTCCCTCCTTCTCTCCCTTCCCACTTTTTTTTTCCCTTCTCTTTAGCAATTTAGGTCATTTGTGTTTTAAAATTTCTCAATTCTACCTTGGTGTTATTTAACAAGTTTCATTTTTCTGCATTTACTATATTAACTAGCAGCTGAATCTAGATGCATGATTAGATTTAGGTTCAATTTTTCTTGACATTGCTGCTTCACAGATGGTCCCATGCTCCCATGCTCTTCCATTAGGAAGCATATAATGTTTCGTTATCTCTTTTTGTGATGC